AATTTAATTCACAGTTATTATTCGAAATAATATTGATAATTGACATTTTTTATTACGATTAAAAATATGGTAAAGCGTTATTTTCCAGTGATAAATAAAACTAGAATAAGATTACCTCAAGAATTCATAAATTCAACGAATAAGAAATTCATTCATGTTATAAATTTTAGTGTTTTCAGAAAATATGAGTCGATGTCATATTCATCATCAGGTTATATTTCACTTCATTCAAATTTAGTTCAATCAAACCCATATAATGACCATTTCATAAGATTTTCAGATGGTATTAAAAAATGTAATTGATAGATTAAAATATGAACAGATTGACAATATCGAATTTTTGGAATTTTGGTTTAAATATCCCGATGGAAAAAAGATTGAAGTTAAAGATAAAGCTGATACTATAACAAAAACAATTACAATGACCATCCGGATAGTGGGGAACAAAAAGAAATAAAACAAACGATAGAAACTGGTGAAAGGTCAATTATTATCGATTATGATTCAAAGGATTATTATTCGATAATGTTAATGCTTGAATATTAAATAGCCTTAACAAAGAATTTTTCAAGTGATATTTTATATTCATCAACTATTTTATTATAAATATCATTATATGTTAAATGAAGTTCAGTTGTTGTTCCGTTCTTTGATATCTTAATTGTGCTAATATCCTTTATAGGATTTATTTTTTGCAACTGTTCCGCAGCATGAAACCTCATCATCTATGAAAAATTGAATCTTCACGTCTGAATCTTGAACATCACAAAGAATGGCGATAATGTGAATTAATGATTCATAAGGTAAAATAATTAAACCGGATTGGTCAATTAAATTTATTATTGAATCATAATTATCAGTTTTATATCACGGTAAATTTTCATTAATTCAGAATTAATGTCTATTTTATATGGCGCATTGCGACTGGAATCGTAGATTCCTGGGTTCTCGATGTTGATGAAAGAGGTGGGGGGTATGTTGGATAAGTGGGAATTTCAACAGGTTCTTTACCAGGTTCAGATAAAATGATTGGGTCTCCATTCTCACGGTTTTCTTCATTCTCCTCATTCTTCGGTAAGTCACGAGTTAATAAATTTGGTTGAGTTGCTGACCTTGTTAATTCAGGACTAACATTAACTTTAACATTTTGAATAATTCGTGATTTATCATCATTTACGTTATAACCAACCGTAATCTCTGCTTTTGCGTTAGTGTTCTTTTGACTAGTGAAACGTCTTCTCATTTATAATCGAATAAAAAAATATATTTAAACTTTTATTTTGCTGGAACTTTTGAATCTATTATTTCCTGTATTTGTTCATGAAGTTGATTTTTAGCATTTTCATCGAAATTAATAGACCGAATATATTCATTAATTGCATTCTTATAATCATTTGATTTCTCAAATTTTCTTTTATCTGATTCCTTAACTAAATCATAAGTTAAACCTCGTTGCTGATATAATGGTTTCTTAATTAAATCTTTGAATGCTTGAGATAAAGCACCTGATGCAATTCTTGCTACTATAATTGGTTGGAATTGCTGTTTAAGTTCATCTTTAACATTTGCGAAAACTGGATCGAATAAAGCAACTTTAAAGAATTTCTTAGCTGGAATTTCAGGTCTTAAATTTGCATATTGACCATCAAACTGGTTAGAATATCGTGGTAATCCATCCGGTCCCTCTTCAATAGCATTTAATTCTTCATTGAAGTAAGAATATGGATTATGACGGTATGAATTAATTGGACCATTTTCACCTTCTCCAATGTATTGTTTAACAGCTTTTCCATTTTCATCAAATTGCATAGGATAATGTTCATTATATGCTTTACGTTTAGGATAATCGTCATTGTTAATTTATAACCATTTATGACTTTAATATTTCCTTGACCATCAGTAACGAAAACTTCATTTATACCATCAGGTTTTCCATTTGGACCCGTAATGTCTGCTTCGTGTGCTTCCCAATTTGGACCATGACGTTTGGCATATGCTTGAGCTTCTGGTAATGTTAAAACGTTTCTCATTTGTTTAACATCCTTTTGAAGACCGGCAACAATGTGGACTAATTCTTTCATTCCATCGGGAACTTTCATAGTTCTATTATATGCACCCTTTTTGTTTGTTCCTTGTTTTAATGGAACCTGTAGAAGATTTGCTATTTCTGTCATGTTTAATTATAAATAAAAAATAAAAATTAATTATAAAAAGTTATTCGAATTTAATGGAACCTTTATTTAAATCAACTATTATTTTTCCATGTTCTCCTAATTGTTGATATTGTGTGTAAAGTTCATTAATGCTCATTGGTAAATTCACTTGATAAAGCATAACGTTCAACTGTTGACGACTAAACCCACTGAAAATGAAAAGTGTTGATAGATTTGATTTAATGTTTGTGCTTAATGCTTTGAAGTATTGAACAGCCATAAAGAATGAACATTGAATGTGTCGACATTGAGTTAATAACTGATTAAAATATGATTTCTCATTTGTTATTAGTTTTGATTTCACTGCATCATCTAGAAAAATGAGTGAATGCAAAAATTCTCTATCAAAATTTGAAATAGAAAGTGTTTCAAATAATTCATCCCGTTGTTTATCAATAATTTTATCCTCTAATCCTTGCTTCTTGATTGTATTATATAATTCTTTATACATTAAAAAGTTTTTTAAATAATCTTCTGCTTCTTCTTGTGATAAATAAATAATTGGAATTTTGATTAAATGCTTTAAAGATTCAAATGTATCATCTGAAGGTGAACCTGAACGGTTGATATAAATTAACACATGTGAATAGGGTGAAGTGTTAGCAATAATGATAATTTGTTTTAATATCGTTAATGTTTTACCTTTATTTTGTTTACCAATTGCTGCAGTGATTGAATTTAAGTAACATTCAGAATATGGAATTTTCATTAATTTTTCCTTAGATAGAGCATTTCTATTATCACTCAATGCTTCATTAATCATATCATCTACGTATGTATTATATACTCCTGCTAATTCTTCATAAGGGGTGGATGAATTTAAATCCATTTAATCAAAAATAAATTTATAATTTTAAACATTTCTATTCATCAATATTTCATCATATGAACTTCTATACTGTGGTGGTGTACCTGTTGAATGATATTTCAAACCTTCTTCCGGTGTCCATGTCCAATATGTAGTCCTAGTAAAACCAAACCTGAGGAGGATTTGTCACTTTTGAACAGTAAGTGTCATTTTCACCCTGAATTATTGGATAAGCTTTCACTTGTACTGTAACTTGTGAGTTGAAAGTTTCTAATCCATCAAAGAATATACCCGCTCCATCACGTTGAACTGGAATAGTGCATAAGAATGAAGTTTGGTCTTTCCATGTTCTAGCTAATGGTGTGCCATTATCATCATTCAATGGTCTAGTTAATGAGTCCTCGTATTCTTCCGTGCATTCATTCACTCCATCTAAATCAGAAGCTTGAAGCATACGTGTAAAGAATATGTCACCCACTGTTGTCATCGCTTGATCGGGGAAGTTTCTGGAATCTATAGTGACCTGAAGACCTCGAAGCATTGGATTTTCTAAAACTGTTCTTTGCATTGCATTCTTCGGAAATGCTAACACAATATCTGTAACATTATGAAGAGCGTATGAGAAATCTGAGCTGATACCTTCAGGAGTGATGCAACCTCCATTTAGTGAACGAACGTCAATATGTTGAGCTGGAATCATGAATGGATCTTCCTTACTGAATAAACGTGGTATTGCTTTAATTGATTCTTCAATTAAACCATATCCTGGTGTAATGCATTTATCCTCTAAAACTTCCATCTTTGTGCATGAAATAATAACGTCTTCAACTGTTGCGTCAGCAGATGTAGCGGCTAAGCTTGTAATTAATTTGGCAGGAAGTCCGATTTGTTGGAATTTGCGATCATATTTATAAACATGATTCATAATCTTTTCATAATTTTCATCAGTTATCTTTTCATAAACATAATTTTGTAAATCAGCAACTCTTAATGGGTCAACCTGACAAAATACTAAAGTATCCCTGAAAACATAATATTTAAGAATGATATCACCAAATGATTTAGGATAATCATCGAACGCCTGAAATGCTAACAAATCATTTATCGGAATAATCATATCAAAAATGACATCAACTTCTTCATTTGCTTTCTTGAAAACTTCTGAAGGGTCAACATATTTACCACATACTGAGTTATCATATTTTTGAACATTATTATATAACGAATGAACAAACTTTTTAACTTTCCTTTCTGATTTTGGTTTATATGTTGCAAATGCGAAAGATTCACGGGCGCAATCCATTTGAAGATAACCAGCATCACCTCTTTCAGTTTCTACTTCTAATTGTTTAAAGTTTTGATTTGATGATTTATAACCAACGAATAAACGCATGCATTTAAAAGCGGCATCACATGTGAAAGCTTTATTTGAAACTAGAGTTGCTTTAACTTTGCGTTTAATATATGTGTCACCTTTTAACAAATTCAGTGATTACTCCATCAAAATTTCCTTTTATGTATAATAGTAGATCAGAGTTTTCATTTGGATTAAATTTATATCCTTTAGAGCTATTGAAATAAATAAAATACTCAATTTTGACTCCTTGAATTGAAGAAATTGAAATTACTTGATCAGTAGTTAAATAAAAATTTTGGGAACTAATAGGTTTATAAACTAGCACTTCTGAACCCTGGGTATTGTCGAATCTGACAAAATCACACACACTGCTAAATGTACGTGAAATATCTTTTTAATTGACAAAGGGCAGATATATTTCTATCTATTTTAGTGATATTTTTGATCTGATTTTTCTTTTTCATTTTTTTGAGAGGCGGGAGTTGGATTCAACATAAAATTGTATTGAACTTCATTCTAATCAATCTTCTTCTCATATTTTTAATGTCAAAATATTTGAATGATTTGATTTTTTGAGGGCTGGATCTCTTTTTTTCATCTCAATTAAAAGGAATAGGAAACAATGTCCTGGCAAACATATGTAGATATGTTAGAACATGCCACGTATGCCGCAGCTATCTTTTCTATTAAAGGAGCATTGTGTGCAAAATCATCTAACTTTGCCGGTAATTCCAAGAATTTGGTTTATTGGTCAAAAATGTTCAGCGATCCATTACTTGCACGCCAACATGGTATTGAATATAATGATATTAAGATGTTTTCATTAGAATATTCTAATGATTTTATTCATGCAATGCATGATGAACTGAATATTTACATGAAGAAAGCAAATACAGTTATTGTTGTTGGTCTTTGTGGAGGTGATAAACCTCAAAATGATGCAAGGAATCAAGTTATTAATATTGCTAAAATTCTTTCTGATTCAGGAGCCTAATGATAAAGTATCTGATCAGTATGATAATCAGAAAAAATGATTTATGTATTCAAGAATAAATCTATCATTTATTGTTGATTTTTATGATTATTTTAATAAAAAAATCAGCTTTGAATATACAAATATATACTTTATAAACAAAACATTAATATGAACTATAATTAGTTATCATCTGGAGTGGTTGAATTTTGTATAATCGATTTCTTTGGCTTTGGTGATCTTTTACGATCCATTTTAAATCCAAATGCTCTAGGAACGAAAACATTGCAAGGAGCTTTCGGAACAATTGATCTAAATCTTTGTCTTAATATATGAACATAAGTCGGCCCAAAAAATGCGCCATCTAGCCGGCCGTATGGAGAGAACTGAGATTCATAGACATCACAGCAATTTGGACAGAATATTTTCATGGTCGCTTCCTCAAAAATTTCAGAAACGCCATAAGGAAGGCATCTGCACCCATTGCATAGATATCTAGGGCAAGTGGGAAACTTTCCTGAGTCATATTTTTCCTTAACAAGATCTATTCCATCTAAAGTGCAAATAAACCTTGCATGTATTAATCCGTATAAATTAATCGACTGATCCATTAAATCTTCATCTTCTTCGTCTGATTCTTTATGAGGACTTCGAATTTTAATTAATGCTTCATTAAATCTGTTAAAATACTTTTTAAGGCCAAAGAAATTGAAGTTATCGCTTAAATAACTCGGATCTACTATAACCATATAAGAATACATTTGCTGGGATGTAAGCCATTCCCCAAAACTTGGAGCCATTTTTTTACAAAATTTTGATTGAATTTTTGACATAAAGATTTTGATGATAATGAATTTTGTAAAAACTTAAAGGAGTACTATCACATTTGATTTGTCAATTCTACAAATCATGAATAACCCTCAAAATCCATTACTTGAGCTTGATTCCATCAACTTCATTCATAAAGATTTAAAATTGCAGCATTAAAACGAACATGTTTACTTTATTGACATCAGGATGATCTTATGACAACTCATTGAAGTGCTTTCTGTACTAATATGAGATACATTTGATAATTATTGATTTAGCATATAACCAATATGACATTTACAGTGCCCATAAATAAATGAATATTTTTATTGAGCATTAGGCAATAATTTGCTAAATTTATTAAATACAATATTCATTTTTGGCATCCTGCGAAGTTAAGTTAAACATGCTTATTAAAACTATTAATATTTACAATGATCATCAAGATATTCCATAGATCATCAATATGTTTTTTTTGTAGAAATTTTCTTTGATTTTTCAAAAAATAAGCAAAAACAACTCTTCATATTCAGTGTGCAATATGTGTTAGATAGTGTTTCAGCTTCTTGCTGCTTGACTTTAGCAAAGATACGCAATTTTGAATCCAAATGTCTGACTTTTTATCCAAAAAATTTTTCATCTGAACCCTATTCCAATAAATACTCTCCTTTTTAGAATTTGAAAGTAATCTATAAGTCGATGATTTGGATTTTTGAAAAATTTCTGAGATTGATAAAAAATTTGATTAAAAATATTAACCAAATCCTACATTCCATCCTAAGATATGAAAATCACATATTTGTCAATTTGACGCGACCGCGCGACCAGATAAGAAATGCTTCTCTTTTTCTTTTCTCTCCTTGGTTTCTTTAATCTAGGAGGCTTTCCATTCGAAGATTTCCAACGATTCCCAGATACTCCAGTTGGTCGTGTTGAACAACTCATGGCCTATCGAAAGTATTGGGATGCATTCGAATCTTGCAACCAAATCATCAGAGAAGGCGGCTATGTTGAGCCAAAAGTTTATCGCTTGAAGGCTCAGTGTGCTTTGACCATGTCTCTTTCAGACGAAGCCGTTCAAGCAGCATCAATTGTAATTAATGATAAAAAGATCAGACTTTCTAACAACGAAAAGCGTTTATGTTACCAAATTCGTGCTCACGCAAATCTCCAGCTTGGAAAATTTGACCAAGCTAAAGCCGATGCCGCAAAATCAAATAACCAAGAAATGATTCAAGAAACTTCAAGCGCAGCCGATGTTTACAAGACATTCCAAGACAAAATCGCCGAGAATAAAAACGATGAAGCTGCACGTGCATTAGACCAACTACTTAAAGTAGCCTTGAGCTCATTTGAACTGAAAAAAATTCGTGCTGATCTTGCATGGGATGCCAAGGATTACGATAAATTTGCCGAAGTTGCCAAAGATCTTCCAGAACGCTATCCAGACGACCATGAATTACTTTACCGCCTTGGCGTTGTCACCATGTGTGCTGGTGACTTCCAAAAGGCCAAAACCTTCTTCGAAGGAGCAACTCGTCGTAGAGGATATCCAGAATATTTCGCAATTGCCAAGAAATCTCTCAACAGCATTCAGAGAGGCTACTCAGAAGTGAGGAGGAACACAGATATTAAGAGCCTTCTCCGAAATGAGCAAAAATTCGACACAATTTACAACCAAACTACAGAATTTTGCGCCCAGAAGTCCGAAATCATGCGCGCAATGAATCTCCTTAAAGCCAAAATCATCAGATCCAAGGGCGATAGCAAAGCTACGATCGATTTCCTTAATGAACAGATCGGAACTTATTCAGATACAACAGAATTCCAACTTGAACGTGGTGAAGTCTGTCTTGACTCTGGAGATTACGAAGGAGCCATTTTTGACTTCCAATCCGTTCTCAGATCTGGACATCGCGATTCTAGGGCACAACAAGGTCTACAGAAGGCTCAGCAGATGAAGAAGGAGCAGAACAATGACGACTACTACAAATTACTTGAAGTTCCCCGCGACGCAAGCGAATCTGAACTCAAGAAAGCATTTCGCAAGGCTACGATCAAATGGCATCCAGACAGACACCGCGGAGAAGAGGAGAAGAAGAAGGCTGAGCAGATGATGAAAAAGATCAACCTCGCATACGAAGTTTTGTCAGATCCTCAGAAAAGAGCAATGTACGACCAAGGTGTTGACCCAGATGGTCAGCAAATGGGCGGACAAGGCTTCGACTTCAACCCATTCGATTTAATGAATGGTTTCGGTTTCCCTGGATTTGGCGGTTTCCCTGGAGGGGCTCAGCACTTCGAATTCCACAACGGAAATGGTTTCCACTTCGAATTTCACTTCTAAATATTTTGTTAAGATTCAAAAATATTTAAAAAATGTGATTTTTTTTAATTCTCAGAAGTGATTTCACTCTCAATTCTGAACTTTTTTAAGGGTGCCGGAAAGTGAGGTGACGCGATTTCGAGTATTGCTCATAACTTCATTTGTGGTAAAGATATTAATGATATTGAAACATATATTAGTAGGGTATATACTAAGGTTTTTATTTCTATGATATTGAGTTCTTTGGTATTTCCAGTATGAAAACTTGCGGACCTATCTTGTCCCTGTTTTTTCCATGGCATGGGCACCTATCTTGTACCAAAGGAGGGAGTAGTCAAAATATGATTTATTGGGCACCTGATTGCAAAAGAAGATTAATAATCTTTTGATAATTTTAATTTTCCTTTTCCTTTTCCCTTGCAATATCAAGTGCTGTTTTTCCATTTTTGTTTTTATCATTAACATTTACATGAATAGATATTAAATACTCAATAACTTCAAAATGTCCATTAAATGCAGTAAAATTAAGTGAAGAATTACCATTATTATTTTTATCATTTGGATTGACTCCAATTGAAATAAGATATTTAACAACTTCAAGATGACCGTTTTCTGATGCAATAAGTATTGGTGAAAATTCATCATTATTTTTGTCGTTTGGATTTACTCCAATTGAAATAAGATATTTAACAACTTCAAGATGACCGTTTTGTGATGCTTTAATTATTGGTGAAAATTCATCATTATTTTTGTCGTTTGGATTGACTCCAATTGAAATAAGATATTTAACAACTTCAAGATGACCGTTTTGTGATGCTTTAATTATTGGTGAAGTTCCATTATTATTTTTATCATTTGGATTTACTCCAATTGAAATAAGATATTTAACAACTTCAAGATGACCGTTTTGTGATGCAACAATTATTGATGAAAATCCATCGTTATTTTTGTCGTTTGGATTTACTCCAATTGAAATAAGATATTTAACAACTTCAAGATGACCGTTTTGTGATGCAACAATTATTGATGAAAATCCATCGTTATTTTTGTCGTTTGGATTGACTCCAATTGAAATAAGATATTTAACAACTTCAAGATGACCTTTTGTGATGCAATAATTATTGGTGAAAATTCATCATTATTTTTGTCGTTTGGATTGACTCCAATTGAAATAAGATATTTAATAACTTCAAGATGACCGTTTTCTGATGCAACAATTATTGATGAAAATCCATCGTTATTTTTGTCGTTTGGATTGACTCCAATTGAAATAAGATATTTAACAACTTCAAGATGTCCTTCTTGTGATGCAATAATTATTGATGAAAATCCATCGTATTTTTTTCGTTTGGATTGACTCCAATTGAAATAAGATATTTAACAACTTCAAGATGACCATTTCCAGATGATATAATTAAGCAATTATTGCCAATACAATTAACAGCTTCTTTATTACAGCCTCCTTCAATGAGATGTTTTACTAATTGAAGATCTCCATTTTTACATGCATAAAGAAGTGATGTATTTTTATATGAATCTTTCTTTTCACTTAATCCAACTGCACATGAAATAGACATAAAAATTGTATCACCTTGAGTTGAGAGTCCTTTGAGGAATTTGTATACTGATTCAAAGTCATCAGTGTTTAATAATTTAGTAATTTCTGTAAATTTATTAATAGATCGATTTAATTGAATGTTTTCTTTATTTTTAGATGATATTTCATTTTTGTATTGATGATTTTCATCTTCAATCTTTTGTAAATTTGTTTCGAGCTTTTCAATTTTGGCTTGTAATTTTGTGACTTCGTTTGTATCTGAAACATGTTCTAATCTGATTTGCTTCAAGTACTCTATTAATCCGTGAGCAGATTTAAGTTTGAAACATCTTTTGTAGCTCTCGAGAATTTGAATTGCTTCGTCAAATGAACCAATGCAAACATTGCATCTTCGAACACAATTAAATAGTTTGTGTGATCTATATTTCAATTTTCCTTGAGTAAGAAGAGTAATGAAGTTCTGAGAATTAAGTGAAGCTTTCGCTAGTGTTTCAGAGATGATATCTTCTTCAAAAACATCAAAAAGATGTCATCATCGATATATGTTTGAATGTGATTTGCGATGTAATCTGTATCAACACTTATTCTATGACTCATCGTTTTTTATAACGAAAAGTCGTTTCGAAATTACTCAGTTGAAACCACATATACTCTAAATGTGATAATCAATTTTGATCTAAATTCAGGATGAGGAGTAGAAATATAAGCTATCGGAAAAGTTAAGTTGTATACTAGAGATTTTGGAGATTAGTATTGGTAATATATCTATACGCACATTACTATGCCAAGATATCCAACTTAAACTCCTCATTTTTTTTAAATTTAAATTAATTTTCAACACTTTTAAAAAATTATAGCATTCAAATGCATTTTTATCAAGTTTCATGGTGCATTTAAGAAACACACGTTTTTTTAATGCCAGATATGCGCGTAAATGCACTCTTGATATTGCAAATATAAAAACCTCATTTCCATAAACTTTGTCCTTAAGGTATACTTATGCCCGTATGACACGACATTCAATTCTGTTGTTTATTCTACATGCCTGCTGTCAGAAATTTGATTTCTATATATAGACTTAAATAAAAGAAATACACTTTATATCATTATAAACAAATATATAAATATAATATAAATATAATAAATAATAAACAAATAATAATAAAATCTGTCATGAAAATCTGACACTTTACACGTCTGCCATGTAAATTTGTCACTTTTCAATTCTTAATCAGAAAAATCATTTTGCATTCTATCATTTCCGTAAGCTCTGTTAAAATAGTAGCAGTACAAAAAGAGATTTGGAAATCTCTCATTAAAGAAATTGAAATACGATTCATCGCTTTCAGTCAGTTTGATCAGTGCTTTATCTTTCAATTCCGATCGATGTTGGTACTTGTTTCTGATCATCCTGACCAAGTCTTTCAGGGAATCATATGAATACCCGTGTTCGCCTCTCAGTTGCAAATCTGAAACTAATTCTTTCGGAATTCTGTCTTTCCAGAACACGCACTGCATTATATCGATCCTTGGCTCCTCAAACTTGTATAATGTCACTGGATCAAGTAAATTCGATGACAAAATAGCGTTCAAAGTGTGAAATTCGTTAATCTTCTGACTTGCAGTCATAAATAGCGGATATTGGAGGGCTTCTTCAGCTGTAGGTCTATCAGTCCATTTTGGTAATGTCATATCATAAATCAGTTCCTTCAAAAGTGGATCAATTTTATTTTGATCAAATTTATGTGTCAAAATGTCTCCAAGTTGCTTTATATTGTTGGCAGCATCTTCATCTGTCTTCTCCGCACTACTCCACTCGATTCCGGCTAAAATTGGGTTGCCTTCGTTATCTGAGAAAATTAGATCGGTAGAAATGTTGAGATGAACTAAACCTTCATTGTGTATTGATTTGAGAGTCTCAAGAAGAGTTTTGCAGAACGAAAATGAACTAATTGTGGAATAATCAATTTCATGTAGCATTTGGTAAGCGAAAATATCATCAGTCTTAATGATTTGTCTTGTATATAGCTTTGGAGTATGTAATGGCTTAGTAAGACGTTGTATTCTCGAATATGATAAATTATTTTGTTCCGAGAAAGGAACTCTGATGATTGTAACACGTGTTTCGCCATATGTACCATTAAGAGGATCATTTTTATCGATTTCGAGTGGAATTGTCGTTGATTTATCTTTTATCAAAATTTTGAGAAGAATTTGGATCATTCTGAAGAAAACAAACACGGCAACGAGAGATACAGCTACAAGCTGGTAGTGGAACTTCGAAAAGCCTTCAATCTTGACAAATCTGACAGGATCTGGATCTACGAGGTCTGTAGAGGTTTTTGACCTCGGATTCAGAGGCTGGAACACTACAAATGGTCGGCGGACATCAAATAAACCGTATCCATTAATTTGGTTATTATTTGACACTCCTTCTGTTCCTTCGATCGCCGGCAGTCCTTTCATGAGGATTTCGAACTTACTCGGCTTCTTGAGTGGTCGCGAAGGGATTGCGATCGGTCCGTATGGTGTTGAAGTGAAATAAACTTTTGATTTCGGTAATCTCTCGCCAGAAGCGAACAATTCGAATGTAAACTTGTTATTATAGCCGAATATGTTTATTGGTGACCCTTTGACTCGTATTTGCGATACAATTTGCGAATCATTTATTGAAATATAAAGTCCGCCGTGATTAAACGCCGAATTTATCTTCACATCATACACACAAGTGTCGTAGTCTGCTTCGCTCGAGTAAATATCAAAATCTGTGAACCTTACAATTTCATTTGTATTATCGTAAACATTTAGCACGTAATCTGTTCTAATTATCACTGTATCGTTGTCTAATGTTCCATTGAAGTACTCCTTCCTCGGCATTACTTCGTTTGGCTTATAAGAAGCGTGTATTGTCCCATTATCTGGATCCACGTATATCATAGTCGTAGTTGTTGTTGATGAAAATATTTCTCCGGTTTCGGTTCTGAATGGAGACATATATGCTAAATCTCGTATTGGCAATGATAATCGCTTGTATCCGTATTTTGGAACAAAAGTGAACATAAAACCATCAATAGAAGGAATATAGACAGAACGGCCTGTAGAGGTATAGTTAAACATGTGACTGCCGGTAGGAATACGCCATAATATATCACCGGTCATTATATTGACACATGTTATGTAGCCATCTGCAGTTGCAAGGAAGATTTTCTTGCCATGAGTCTTGCAAGTCCATTCTACCTTTAAACCTGTTTCTATTAAACCACTTGTTGCTTGTTGTTCCGCCCTACAAAGGGCAAGAAACGCAACGATCATTTATTTTTTGACATTTGACGAGATTCAATATAAATTCCGAGTTGAATAAAATAAAAATATCATGGTTTAATGTAAATTAATCCAAAATTTAAATTTTACTGTTTTATCTTGAAAAATGAAGAAATCAAAATTAAATTTTTGGCTTTTGGATCAAAATTAACAATTAAAAACCAATTACTCATAATTACATTCCGAAAAATCATATTTTAAAAGAGAGAAAATAGAGAAATTTTTATGAAATATGTAAATTAAATTATTTTGCAACAATAACTTTGGCAGCACGAAGCAACCTCTTGTCAATCTTATATCCTTCGGTAGTGCAATCGATGATTGTACCAGAAGGAGCTGATCCACGTGTGTCTATCATTTGAATGGCATCATGATACTGAGGATCGAATTTCTGTCCTTTGGAAACAATCTTTTCTATCTTGAAGCGCTTGAAAATGTTATGAAATTCGGCATCAACGAGTTTGACAGCTTCAATGACATCTTTCACGTTCTGCTTTGCTCCACTATTAATAATGCGTCCCATGTTATCTGCAACAGGAAGTAAATCTTTGGCCAACTTTGAAACAGCATATGTTTCCATTTCTACTTCAAGACGGGCAAATCTGCGTCTTGCATTCTCTACTTCTGCTAAGAGGAAGAGATTTCTGTTTCTAATATCCTTAATTTGGGCTTCTAACTCTTGAATTGTTGGCTTTGGCTTCTCTTCTGGCTTTTTGTCATTTGCAACTGCCTTCTCTGTTGCCTGCTTAGCAGATTCAGCCGCTTTTTCAACAAATGTTCTCACAAAAAGACTTGGAAGGTACTGTTGTGAAGAGAGCATGAAATTTGTGTTGAAAATTTTTGGGAAAATCTGTGTTCAATTTCTCTCAAATTTTCTGAGTTATCGGTGGAAATAACCGAACTGTGGAAAATGAAATTGGCATAAATATAATACTAGTTCAATATTTTTATTTCTGGTAATTTGTAAACAACCCTTTACACGACAGTAATTTCGTTCGCAAATTTTTAACCGAAAATTCGATAATTTTCTTTGGTAAATATGATAAATCATCTTATTTTAATATGATTGTAATACAAGTATACTTGAAAACTTTGAACACCATTCTTTTTTGATCATTTTCATTTAATTTCAGGAGTTAACAACCAAAATTGCATGCCTCGTTTATTAATATGTCTGGTGTATATGTGTGTAGTATAGATATTGATTTTCAAGGCAGATGGATAATTGTATTATTGGCCGGACAAAGAATATATTATCGTTTATTGATATGGATTAACCTTTATGTATGTGAATATCTCATAATAATCTATACTTTCTATGCTAATTTTGCGATAAATCCGAAGGTTTTTTTGCAGAATCTTTTAATTTGTGTCTTTGGAGCTTTTGTTTCTCTCCAAATCCAGGCCGCATGAAAGGATAGTTAATGGGTATGTTAGATAATTATGCAGTGTTTGATTCATGCCAGAGTTAGACTGAAATTAGAGACATAAAATCAGATTTTCGGTTTGTTGTAAGTTAATACGATTTTAAAAATATTAGGATGGCTTCCAATAAGGATTACTTTCACTTTTTGCAATGGTCTGACAAATTTGACAGATATGGCTTTCTCTCTCAAATTGAAGGTGTGAAATTTTCTAAATGAGTGAGCTAGATGGAATTAAATCTGATTATGAATTCCTGAAAAGCCACATCCCTTCATCCCTCGATGATAAATATCAGCAACTTCTTTCCCAGGTTGAAAATTTACGATATAAATTCATCAGGGAGCAAAGAATCTGTACACTAATCAATAACCGTATCGAGGAAATCAAAGCCAATACTTTAAACAATGCAGAATTGAAAACAATCTTAAATCCAACGATTTTACCTCGATTTAACCTAAGTCCAGCAGTTTCTCAACAAACAAGCCTCTTTATCGCTTACATATACTCAGAGATCCAAATTTTCGCAAGCTCTGTCGTTGCTTTCAAAAAATCTGATCAATTTTCTTATTTTATCAACGTAATTATTCCAGCTCTGTTTTGTAATTTCACCAGCAATGAAGTTATAAACGATGCATCCCTATTTTATCAGCATATTTTGAATATTGCCAAGCCAAATCTTGCAATAGACATTTTAACACCACTATACAAGTCCATTTTAGGTTATCCATTTATTGAATACGTTTTGGATAACTATCTTCCGAAAATGGCGAACGAAAAACGAATTATTAATAAAAACACGACACAATTACTTCAACAGCAATCGAAAACATTACTTTTAGTAATGATGAAAGCAATCAAACTACTTCCGCTATGTCTCTTTACGATTTTATTGATGGCCCATAATAATTGGCCAATTGAGTCCTTGAAAACGTTATTTTTTGACAAATATTTTACGTATCTATCTAATATTTACATTCTCAGTTCATCCTACTCGATTTTCATTGAAGATTTTAATGAAATTTTATATTTTATGCGAAACTCCGATGAAATCATTGTTTCTCTCATGAAAGCACTTCTAGACAACTCATCAATCCTCGTAGTACCTGACAATTTCAAGCCATTCAATCATCCGTACGTAAATATCCTTATGTCACCAAATGAGGTCAACATGATTGCCAAATGCATACGCGCATACACAAACGATCTTCCTTATACTGTCCATGAGATGGATATCAAGTCAGATTACCCAACAACGCCATTTTTCGTTTCATATTATATTAAAAAGAAAAAATTCGATTTATCGTTCGACCACTTTATTTTTAAGAACCAAAAACCAGAGTTCCCACAAAATAACGAGTTTTTGAACCGATACCATAAGATTATTCAGAATCAAACTTTATCTTACAAGACTCCATACGAAACAGTTCTTGATACAAAGCCTTCTGATGATTTTGCAGAGTTCTCGTTGAAGCAGTGCGTTGCGGAATACATAGAACAAGCAAATTCATTTGAAAATTTTTTGTATTACAAAATTAAGGCGAAACAAGTAGACAAATGGTCGAAAGTTAGTTCCGATATGACCAAAGTGTACAGGAAGTACTCTGTTCTCTATTTTCCGCCAAGAAAAGTTGAATTAATTTTCCAAGAACTTTTGCCAATCGTTGAAGACCAAGAAACATTGAATAATTATTACGTGAAGTCAATGATGCCAATTATATTCAAGATGTTCAATGAAAACAAACCATTTTTCAACAATTTGACGAAATCATGGTTGAAAATGCTTGGATCATCAAAAACAATAGTCGATGAGCTTAATTTGACCAGGTTTAGTGATACTATTCAATGCGTTTTTTGGAATGCCGTCCAAATTTTTATTTCAATTGATTATGTTCCTTTTAACGACAGATTCTTCTTGCTTCTGAGTTTTATGAAGTATCTGTCACATCTGATGCTTTATACAACTAAAGAAGACATAAAAATTTTGCTGAATTACATTATTACATTTTCAAGACCGGAAACACTCATCCACACATTTGTAATTTGTACTTCGTACTTTATAGTTAACACAGATTTGACTTCCACTATAAATGAAAGTTATATTTCTGCTTGGACTGTATTTCATAATTTTATGAATGAATACATCTCAGATGATAAGACACGTGACTTGCATTGCATGGTTAGCGTATTACAAAAAATGGTTTCAAGAATGTAACTTTTTTTTTATTTATATTTTTTTTCTTGTTAGTGATTTTTTTTAAATATTTATATATTTATTAACTTTCTTCTTAGAATATTAATGGTTGCTATGTCAATAATAAGGAAACTTCTCTTCATTATGCAGTATGTAATAATATAGTATAGAAATGACTAAACTTAATGATAGAGATGACTCTGGAAAAACTGCACTTCATGTTGCAGCATTCAGATATTGTATAGAAAAAAACAGAATATAGATCTGAAAAATTCCCAAATATACGGGGTCGATGGAATCCCATCTCAATCGTTCTCGCGAGAACCTAAAAAAATGAGAATCCCAAAAAGTGACATAGTGAGTGTTTCGTCAATCACTGGGATGAAAAATTCACTTCACCTTGGATCTATAAGCAGAATTTCTGATTTCACAAGTTGCAAATATCAATGAAAAAGATATATTTGGACAAACTGTTCATCATTAAGCAGCAGAAAATAATTATAAAGAAATAATCAAATTTCTTATATCACATGGTGCAAATATCATTGAAAAAGATGAAGATGGACTGACTGCTATCGCTTTTATCGGTATCTTAAATTAAGTGATTTTTTTTCTTACTACATTTGACTTTTTTTTATTTGAATCTAAAATTGAATTGAAAAGTTTTGGGACAACAACATAAGTTAAGCAGCGTTGGGCAAAGTTTGCTTATTAGTCCAGATTATATTGTACTACCAGAAGATTCATATTCGCAATTTCCTTATATATCAAGTTATATCTTTTATTTTTTCAAAGTTTAAACCATCTACGCTAGCCTGGATCTTAGTTACCGTTGATTTTGGTACAGGTACTATATCTTCATTAAAATTGATTTGTTTGTAAAAAAAACGGCGCAACACGCCTGTATGCGAAGAAAAACAGATGAATTCAAATAATTTTTTTAAGAGGGTTAAGCCTAAGATCGATCAATTGGTATATGAATATAACACTTTTAATTCGGACATTGAGGAAAAATATCAAGAATACCTTTATTCGATAAATCATTCTCAGATATCAGCAGTTCAACTTCAAAATTACTTTGTTCCAAAGGGCACAAATGAATTACTATTGCAATATGAGAAAATATTTCGTCAGCAAATATCCGAATTACGTAATTATTTATCGAAAATCACATTTAGAAAATCCAAATCAGAAGGTATTCTTAATATTGGACTTCAAGATGATCTTCTTGACGATGATTTACTAGAAAAGACACAAAATGATATACAAAAAGCTCAAAAACTTTTAGATAATCAAGATTTACGCGAAATACAAGATTCAGTTGTTGAAGATTTGGCAAAAATTAATGAAATTTCACGAAATAATACAAGAAAGAAACTCTTACTTAGAAATTTATCAGATTCCTTATTACATCAGCAAAATCTTTCTCCAAGATCATTAAAGAATAAAATATCATTTGAAAATCAATGTGATACGCAACTTTCCAATGATTTTGAGAAAGAAATTTCTGAATTAAAAAATGAAATTCAGGAAAGAAAGAAAAAACTCAAAGATTATGAACGAGAGACAAATAAAATCGATAAAGAATCCAAAGCAATTAAAGAAAAGAAACAATTACAGCTCAATGACGAATTAGAAACTATTGAGAAAAATAAATTAATTTTAGATGAAACAATTGATCTTGACAATAAAATAAACGCAATACTACAAGAAAACAAAACTCTTTCTTATCAATTAGATGATTTAAGAGCAGAAAATGAAAGATTAAGAAGAGAAAATTTCACTGCGCAAAGAGATAAAGCAAATCTTGAAAATGCAAAGAAGGACATTATCAAAATGAAATCAAATTGCGAACGATTACAACGAGAAATCGAAAAAAGTGAAAAAGATTTGGAAATTTATAGAAAAATTGTAAATGACTTAGAAATACAAGTAAAAGATAAAGAAAATCAATACACTAACTCAGAATCTAGAATCAAATCTTTAGAAGGAATGATGAAAGAAACAGATTCAAATCTTGTCAATACAATACATAAAAAACAGAAAGAAATAGACTTAATGAACTCAGTATCTGATACAAAAGCAGTGATTGAGGACCAATTTGACAATTATTCTGATGAAATTGTAAAATTATTCAATTCGGATTTGTCGAGATCAACATCTGAAAAAGTTTTTGATCAGCAAATAAAAGTTCAAACAAATTCCAATTTTTCGCATGATGATTTAATTGATTCTTCACCAATTAAACAGAAAATTGAAATTAAAGACATAAATCATATGCATAATTCATCCCAAGATAATCCTATTGACGAATTAACATCTCTTTTTTCATAAACATTGTTCTCTCTTTTTATTTATATAGGGTGTCCAAAGGTGTGTTTAGCACAAACCTGAATACTGCGAATAGAAATAAACAAGTTACATATATATAAAGTTTATTTAAATATAATCACCATTGGATTCAATCACGCGTTCGCAGCGATCGATCCAGGCTTGAAAGACACGCTTTAAATCATCATGAGAAAATTGCTCAAATTGCTCTCTTACAAAATTTTCAAGATCATCTGGACTCGCGAATTCGCGTCCTTCAGCTCTCTTTTTTAGCGTGCCGAATAAATAAAAGTCAGAGGGTGCAATATCAGGTGAATAAATTGGGTTTGGAACAACTTTGACATTGTTTTCCACCAAGTAATTCATTACCTTATGACTTTTGTGAACTCTTGAATTATCAAAATGAATTGCAAACTTTTGTTTTTGTTGTTTGGATTTCTCAAACTCATCAGAATTGATAATTTGAGTAAGAACATTGTCAATTAGATACTGAGCATTCATCGTATTAGGTTTTTGAAGAATATCAATTGCGATGATGCCATTCACGCCCCAAAAAACCGACAACATCATCATTGGTGTGTCAATTTTTTTCTTCGGGAATGTTTGCGGATTTTCATCCTTCGGGATCCACATGATTTTGGCTTCTGTTGCATATTGAAACCAAGACTCGTCCCCTGTTACTAAAAAGCGAAACTTCTTGGATTGATACGCACCCAATATAGAGAGGAGCTCTTTCGAAGATTGGACTCTAGATTTTTTTTGAACTGAATTAAGGTTGTGCGGAACCCAACGTGTATACGCTAGTTTGTAGTTCAAATAATTGTGCAGATAATAACTTACTGTTGTACGTGGTATCTTTGTCATCTCCTCTATCCTTCTGAGTGATGCTCTTGGGTCTTCATCTAGCACTTGAAGAATTGCTTTGATTTTTCTTTGATCCGGCGATTTTTTGTCAATTTTTATGATGGGCACCTTTTTGTTCATGAAGTGATACATCCTAACATGATACGTTACAGTGGAATAGCTAGGAGCATCCATACCGAAGCATTTTACCAATGTCTCGTAGATTTTTTTACAGTCTTTGCATTTTTTTGCAAGAGCGAGGATGTTTTCTTTATGATTCATTAAAAAAATGAAAAAAATCCCGCCAAAATTTCCAGCGAAACCGCCTCTTGTCTCAAAATTCATTTTATATCCCGGCATGGCGCCAAAATACAACATACTCATCATATACATATATTCATATTTTTTATTATATATTTATAATCAGCATATATCTCCTTTAATAGTCTCATATAGAGCGCTGTGCTAAACGCACCTTTGGACACCCTATATTTTTTACAAAGAGGAAGACATTTTCCCAAAAGATTAAAATAGTAATAGACTACAATCATGCATAAATGTTTATTTATTATATAATTATCCATATGATAAGATCGCACAGAATGCCAATGGGGTATTATTATTGTCGTCTGGTGGTTTTAGACGACAATGCGAATTTTCGAATTATATATTTTTAGCCAGATAAAGAGTCATTCTATATAATACGCGTTTGCACTCTACATCCTCTTTTTAATATCCAAAGGAGTTGAAAAATTATTGACCACATTATTGATACTGGTTTATATATTGAATTAACTATTTCTTGGTTAGGCGTTATCAATGTAAAATATAATAAAGTGCTTGAACTAAGGTAGATAATAGTCATTTTTTCTAAAGAATGATGTTATTACGCAGATAATTTATTTTTTAGGATTTATTATTTTCGATGAGGAAGTAGTCAAAATATGATCTATTGAGCACCTGATTGCAAAAGAAGATTAATAATCTTTTTATAATTTTTATTTTCATTTTCCTTTTCCCTTGCATTATCAAGTGCAGTTTTCCCGCTTTTGTTTTTATCATTAACATTTACATGAATGGATATTAAATATTCAATAACTTCAAAATACCCATTTTTGGCAGCTAAATGAAGTGAATAACTACCATAATTATTTTTGTCGTTTGGATTTGCTCCAATCGAAATAAGATATTTAACAACTTCAAGATGACCATTTTGTGATGCACAAATTATATATGAAAATCCATCGTTATTTTTATCATTTGGATTTGCTCCAATTGAAATAAGATATTTAACAACTTCAAGATGACCAATTTGTGATGCAACAATTATTGGTGAATTTCCATCATTATCTTTGTCGTTTGGATTGACTCCAATTGAAATAAGATATTTAACAACTTCAAGATGACCATTTTCTGATGCAATAATTATTGATGAAAATCCATCGTTATCTTTGTCGTTTGGATTGACTCCAATTGAAATAAGATATTTAACAACTTCAAGATGACCATTTTCTGATGCAATAATTATTGATGAAAATCCATCGTTATTTTTGTCGTTTGGATTGACTCCAATTGAAATAAGATATTTAACAACTTCAAGATGACCATTTTCTGATGCAATAATTATTGATGAAAATCCATCGTTATTTTTGTCGTTTGGATTGACTCCAATTGAAATAAGATATTTAACAACTTCAAGATGACCATTTTCTGATGCAATAATTATTGATGAAAATCCATCGTTATTTTTGTCGTTTGGATTGACTCCAATTGAAATAAGATATTTAACAACTTCAAGATGACCATTTCCAGATGATATAATTAAGCAATTATTGCCATTATAACTAACAGCTTCTTTATCACAGCCTCCTTCAATGAGATGTTTTACTAATTGAAGATCTCCTTTCCTAAATGCATTAATAAGTGATGTATTTTTATATGAATCTTTCTTTTCACTTAATCCAACTGCACATGAAATAGACATAGAAATTGTATCACCTTGAGTTGAGAGTTCTTTGAGGAATTTGTATACTGATTTAAAGTCATCAGTGTTTAATAATTTAGTAATTTCTGTAAATTTATTAATAGATCGATTTAATTGAATGTTTTCTTTATTTTTAAATGATATTTCATTTTTGTATTGATGATTTTCATCTTTAATCTTTTGTAAATTTGTTTTGAGTTTTTCAATTTTGGCTTGTAATTTTGTGACTTCGTTTGAATCTGAAACATGTTCTGATCTGAATTGCTTCAAGTACTCTATTAATACGTGAGCAGATTCGAGTTTGAAATAACTTTTGTAGCTCTCGAGAATTTGAATTGCTTCGTCAAATGAACCAATGCAAACTTTGCATTTCCGAACACAATTGAATAGCTTGCATGAGCTATATTTCAATTTTCCTTGAGTAAAAAGGGTAATGAAGTTCTGAGAATTAAGTGAAGTTTTCGCTAGTGTTTCAGAGATGATATCTTCTTCAAAAATATCAAAAAAGATGTTATCATCAATATATGTTTGAATGTTATTAGCGATGTAATCTGTATCAATACTTAATCCATGACTCATCGTTTTTTATAACGAAAAGTCGTTTCGAAATTACTCAGTTGAAACCACATATACTCTAAATGTGATAATCAATTTTGATCTAAATTCAAGACGAGTAGTAGAAATATAAGATATCAGATAAGTCAAGTTGGATACTAGAGCTTTTTGAGATTAGTATTGGTAATATAGATTAACACATATTACTAATCCAACTTCGACTTTGTGATATTTTTTTTAATTTAATTTCCAACATTTTTAAGAAATTATGACATTTTAATGCGTTGTTATCAAGTTTTATGGTGCATTTAAGAAACACATATTTTTTTAACTCTGCTATTGACAAGAGTAGTAGGATAGGATGGGTTGTGTGACTTTTTTTGTTACATCTATATATAGACGATGCATTAAAATATATTTATTTATAAACACATTAAAAAATTAACATTAATTTTAAAATAATTTATTTTTTATCTTTTATAAAAGAAGCTATATATAGATGATGTCAGATATTCCGCGATTAATTAAACATTGTTTAAATCCTGAATGGGTTAAACTTCAATTTAAAAAGGAAGACTGTGAATTATTAAATGAATATGAAAGCCAAAATAAGCTAATGAGGTATAAATATAATGATAAAGAATATTTAATTTCATGGAATCAATGGAGTCATAATCAAAGACCTCATAAACGAGAAGAAGAAATGGAAAATAATGAAATGGAAATCATTGATGACATTAAAGAGGATGGAATTCCTAAATTTTGTAGAAAAACCTTTAGAACTAAGTTAGGAGCATATAAACGTAGAGTATTAAATCCTGAATATCTTAAACATTTATTTAAAAAGGAAGATTGTGAATTATTAAACGCTAATGAATATGAAAATGCTAAATCAAAACTGAGGTATAAATATAATGGAAGTGATGAAAGGTGTAAAGATAAAGATAAAGTTTATTCAGTTTCATATAATAACTGGCACACGTTAGGGATAAGAAAACATTTAGGAGATTATGGTAAAAGTTCTGAATTCTTCAAATCTAGTATGTATGAGAGAGTAAAAGAAATTAGAAATAATTATTTTCATGAATGAAAGATTCACTACCATAATGAAATAAAAAAATAAAAAAATAAACTTTTAAAATTAAACGCAAGACTATCAAAAGATAGAGTTGAAAGAGTAATGGTAATGATGAAAAAGAATTTGATGAGTTCAACATAGAACTTTAAGAAATTAATGATTATTTGAATTTATGAAATCAATTATTTGATTTATTCTTTCTTCAATCTCTTCTATTCTTTTTGTTAAATCATCAATTTTCATTAATGAGGTGATTCTTGATTGAGGAATAGATTTCAAACTAACCACCCCCTTTATTTTTGAAATTTTGAATCCATCAACTTTAAACATTTTATTCAATTTACATGTTGTCAATTCTTCAAATAATTTTTTATTATTAGCATAATAGTCATTAAATTCTTCAACAGATGAAAAAATTTTTATTTCAGTAATTGGTTTAACAACGTTTATTTTTTGTTGAACATTTTCACTTTCATTTATTTCTTCCTTCTCTGTTTCATTTATTTTTAAAATCGGTTTCATTTATCATTAAATAAAAATTAGAATATAAGTGATGAAATATATTTTTTAATTAATATTAAATCAGAAATGGCGGCAGGATTCTTTAAAAAATTATGGGAAGGAATTAAGAAAGCTGCGGGTTGGGTTTATAAAAAGATTATTAAACCCGTTGCAAACTTTTTGGCACCAGTAGCGAAAACGGCAGGAACTATCATAGGTGGAGTATTAGGTACTAAAGCAGGTAATCCAGCGATGGGAGCACAAGCAGGTAACGCAGTTGGTGGAATTGCTGAAGGAATACTTAATAAAATAGGAGGTAGATAGTGGAAAAATAAATATTATTTTTATCTTAGTATCGGTTGAAGTCTTTGATAAACTTTTTCTCCTTTATTTAATATTTCTCTTATTGGGGCAGCTTTTGGTGTTATTGATTCAGCAACGTCACTAATTGCTTCTTTATTCTTAAATATCCAATTTGCTCCCTTCTTCATTGTTTCCCAAACTTTATGCGCTCCTCTTTTTACTTTATCCCACAGTTTCTTAAATATACCTGCAGCCATAGTTGATTATTTCATTAAAATTAAAAATTCATTTTCATCTTTTAATTTTGATTTTTTATTTATTAATAAATGACGACTAACTATTTGGTGCCAAACACTAAACCGATTAATGGAAATGTGTTTCATTCATTCGAAAAGATAAATGAAATATTCGCAAAGAATGACGGTAGAAGATATTATAGAGAACTTGAAAGTTCATGCTATGACTCTGATGCTCCATATTTTGATGATAAACAAACTCATTTAAGAATTACAAATCCGGCTCATGATGTGAACCAATTAGGTGACACATATATTAAACGCAAAGTTAAAGCAACTCTAGTTTCAAATAAAGCTTTCACATGTGATGCCGCTTTTAAATGCATGCGTTTATTCGTTGGTTACAAATCATCAAATCAAAGCTTTAAACAATTAGAAGTAGAAACCGAAAGAGGTGATGCCGGTTATCTTCAGATGGATTGCGCCCGTGAATCTTTCGCATTTGCAACATATAAACCAAAATCAGAAAGGAAAGTTAAAAAGTTTGTTCATTCGTTATATAATAATGTTCAAAAATATGATAACTCAGTATGTGGTAAATATATTGACCCTTCAGAAGTTTTCAAGAAAGCAAATGAAGAAGTTGATATCACTTTTGATATGATTATTCCGGTAAATGATTTGTTAGCATTTCAGGCGTTCGATGATTATCCTAAATCATTTGGTGATATCATTCTTAAATATTATGTTTTCAGGGATACTTTAGTATTTTGTCAGGTTGACCCGTTAAGAGTTGCTGATTTACAAAATTACGTTTATGAAAAGATAACTGATGAAAATTATGAAAAGATTATGAATCATGTTTATAAATATGATCGCAAATTCCAACAAATCGGACTTCCTGCCAAATTAATTACAAGCTTAGCCGCTACATCTGCTGACGCAACAGTTGATGACGTTATTATTTCATGCACAAAGATGGAAGTTTTAGAGGATAAATGCATTACACCAGGATACGGTTTAATTGAAGAATCAGTTAAAGCAATACCACGTTTATTCAGTAAGGAAGATCCATTCATGATTCCAGCTCAACATATTGACGTTCGTTCACTAAATGGAGGTTGCATCACTCCTGAAGGTATTAGCTCAGATTTCTCATACGCTCTTCATAATGTTACAGATGTTGTGTTAACATTTCCGAAGAATGCAATGCAAAGAACAGTTTTAGAAAATCCAATGCTTCGAGGTCTTCAGGTCACTATAGATTCCAGAAACTTCCCCGATCAAGCGATGACCACAGTGGGCGACATATTCTTTACACGTATGCTTCAAGCTTCTGATTTAGATGGAGTGAATGAATGCACGGAAGAATACGAGGACTCATTAACTAGACCACTGAATGCAGATGATGGCACGCCATTAGCTAGAACATGGAAAGACCAAACTTCATTCTTATGCACTATTCCAGTTCAACGTGATGGAGCGGGTATATTCTTTGATGGATTAGAAACTTTCAACTCACAAGTTACAGTACAAGTGAAAGCTTATCCAATCATTCAGGGTGAAAATGACACTTACTGTTCAAAGGTGACAAATCCTCCTCAGGTTTGGTTTACTAGGACTACATATTGGACATGGACACCGGATGAAGGTTTGAAATATCATCCAACAGGTACACCACCACAGTATAGAAGTTCATATGATGAAATATTGATGAATAGAAATGTTTAAAATTATAAATTTATTTTTGATTAAATGGATTTAAATTCATCCACCCCTTATGAAGAATTAGCAGGAGTATATAATACATACGTAGATGATATGATTAATGAAGCATTGAGTGATAATAGAAATGCTCTATCTAAGGAAAAATTAATGAAAATTCCATATTCTGAATGTTACTTAAATTCAATCACTGCAGCAATTGGTAAACAAAATAAAGGTAAAACATTAACGATATTAAAACAAATTATCATTATTGCTAACACTTCCCCCATTCACATGTGTTAATTTATATCAACCGTTCAGGTTCACCTTCAGATGATACATTTGAATCTTTAAAGCATTTAATCAAAATTCCAATTATTTATTTATCACAAGAAGAAGCAGAAGATTATTTAAAAAACTTTTTAATGTATAAAGAATTATATAATACAATCAAGAAGCAAGGATTAGAGGATAAAATTATTGATAAACAACGGGATGAATTATTTGAAACACTTTCTATTTCAAATTTTGATAGAGAATTTTTGCATTCACTCATTTTTCTAGATGATGCGTGAAATCAAAACTAATAACAAATGAGAAATCATATTTTAATCAGTTATTAACTCAATGTCGACACATTCAGTGTTCATTCTTCATGGCTGTTCAATACTTCAAAGCATTAAGCACAAACATTAAATCAAATCTATCAACCTTTTCATTTTCAGTGGGTTTAGTCGTCAACAGTTGAACGTTATGCTTTATCAAGTGAATTTACCAATGAGCATTAATGAACTTTACACACAATATCAGCAATTAGGTGAACATGGAAAAATAATAGTTGATTTAAATAAAGGAAGTGTTAAATTTGATTAACTTTTTATAATTAATTTTTATTTTTTATTTATAATTAAACATGACAGAAATAGCAAATCTTCTACAGGTTCCATTAAAACAAGGGACAAACAAAAAGGGTGCATATAATAGAACTATGAAAGTTCCTGATGGAATGAAAGAATTAGTTCATATTGTTGCTGGTCTTCAAAAAGATGTTAAACAAATGAGAAACGTTTTAACATTACCAGAAGCTCAAGCATATGCCAAACGTCATGGTCCAAATTGGGAAGCACACGAAGCAGACATTACGGGTCCAAATGGAAAACCTGATGGTATAAATGAAGTTTTCGTTACTGATGGTCAAGGTAATATTAAAGTCATAAATGGTTATAAATTAACTATATCTGATTATCCTAAACGTAAAGCATATAATGAACGTTATCCTATGCAATTTGATGAAAATGGAAAAGCTGTTAAACAATACATTGGAGAAGGTGAAAATGGTCCAATTAATTCATACCGTATAATCCATATTCTTATTTCAATGAAGAATTAAATGCTATTGAAGAGGGACCGGATGGATTACCACGATATTCTAACCAGTTTGATGGTCAATATGCAAATATTAGACCTGAAATTTCAGCTAAGAAATTCTTTAAAGTTGCTTTATTCGATCCAGTTTTCGCAAATGTTAAAGATGAACTTAAACAGCAATTCCAACCAATTATAGTAGCAAGAATTGCATCAGGTGCTTTATCTCAAGCATTCAAAGATTTAATTAAGAAACCATTATATCAGCAACGAGGTTTAACTTATGATTTAGTTAAGGAATCAGATAAAAGAAAATTTGAGAAATCAGATGATTATAAGAATGCAATTAATGAATATATTAGGTCTATTAATTTCGATGAAAATGCTAAAAATCAACTTCATGAACAAATACAGGGAATAATAGATTCAAAAGTTCCAGCAAAATAAAAGTTTAAATATATTTTTTTTATTCGATTATAAATGAGAAGACGTTTCACTAGTCAAAAGAACACTAACGCAAAAGCAGAGATTACGGTTGGTTATAACGTAAATGATGATAAATCACGAATTATTCAAAATGTTAAAGTTAATGTTAGCCCTGAATTAACAAGGTCAGCAACTCAACCAAATTTATTAACTCGTGACTTACCGAAGAATGAGGAGGAGCAAAATAAAGAGATGGAGACCCAATCATTTTATCTGAACCCGGTAAAGAACCTGTTGAAATTCCCACTTATCCAACATACCCCCCACCTCTTTCATCAAACATCGAGAACCCATATAAAATAGACATTAATTCTGAATTAATGAAAATTTACCGTGATATAATAATTAATAATTATGATTCAATAATAAATTTAATTGACCAATCCGGTTTAATTATTTTACCTTATGAATCATTAATTCACATTATCGCCATTCTTTGTGATGTTCAAGATTCAGACGTTAAGATTCAATTTTTCATAGATGATGAGGTTTCATGCTGCGGAACAGTTGCAAAAATAAATCCTATAAAGGATATTAGCACAATTAAGATATCAAAGAACGGAACAACAACTGAACTTCATTTAACATATAATGATATTTATAATAAAATAGTTGATGAATATAAAATATCACTTGAAAAATTCTTTGTTAAGGCTATTTAATATTCAAGCATTAACATTATCGAATAATAATCCTTTGAATCATAATCAATAATAATTGACCTTTCACCAGTTTCTATCGTTTGTTTTATTTCTTTTTGTTCCCCACTATCCGGATCGGTCATTGTAATTGTTTTTGTTATAGTATCAGCTTTATCTTTAACTTCAATCTTTTTTCCATCGGGATATTTAAACCAAAATTCCAAAAATTCGATATTGTCAATCTGTTCATATTTTAATCTATCAATTACATTTTTAATACCATCTGAAAATCTTATGAAATGGTCATTATATGGGTTTGATTGAACTAAATTTGAATGAAGTGAAATATAACCTGTTGATGAATATGACATTGACTCATATTTTCTGAAAACACTAAAATTTATAACATGAATGAATTTCTTATTCGTTGAATTTATGAATTCTTGAGGTAATCTTATTCTAGTTTTATTTATCACCGGAAAATAACGCTTTACCATATTTTTAATCGTAATAAAAATGTCAATTATCAATATTATTTCGAATAATAACTGTGAATTAAATTTAACAGTTAGCGGAATTTATAATGTTACTCTCGTTTCTGTGAGTGGTAAATTTAATCCCATTCTTTTAGACCCTTCAGATTATATATCATTTATTAAAGATGACCTTGAAAAAACGTATGATATGTATATAAATAATGTGATAGTGAAATGGGATATTAACATGATTTTAAGTTATTTAAATGAATCATTTATCGTATGGTATGAAGAAAATTTTAAATCAAAACCTGATAAACTTTTTGAACTTGATGAAATAAATAACCTTATTAAATTTCCGCTGAAAATTAAATTTTGTACTCCTCATCTTCGTTCATTGTTGGGGATATTAAATTTTGAAAAAGATGTTGGGGATGTTTTGTATTCTGACACTGGTTCCAATTTCATTTTAATCAAATGTGATAAAGTTAATACCCCAATGAGATTTTCACATCAAACATTAGACCCTAACTCTTACCCATCAATACAAAACATTTTATCCATCAACTTAAACACATTTTCTTTATCATATCCGTTTCAATTATCCGGGAATTCATTTATTCTTCATTCAAAAGATTTATCAAATATTAAATTTAGAATAACTGACCTATTTGATTGTGATTTAGAATTTATGAATGAAATATTATGGCAATTTCAAATAGAGAAAATAGCTGATGAGATAACGGATTAAATATTTATTTTTAAATCATAATAAATGATTAAACAACAGCAACCACAACAACTTAAGGCACAAAACACCCAGGTCCCTCAGACCATTACATACGCCATATATGCATATAATTCAAAGACGGCAGAACAACGAAAGGTTGAAATATGGAGATTTGGAGATAGTATTGAAAAATGAACATTTCGAATTCGTTTGCAAAGGTGGTGCAGTGATATCAAATATAAAAGAAATTTTATTTATGAATTCAAAAATTAAAGGAATAACGGATGATATAACATCAATTCCACCAGAAGAACAGAGATATTACGCATTAAATGCATTTCCTAAAGTTTTGAAGATTGGAAGATTTAATTTAAATGAGGAATTCATAGAAGGTTTCCTAAACGACATAATGAAGAAGGTGGATAAGGAATATGTGGATAGTGAGTTAAATAAGAAGGCAAATTTGGTTTATGTTGATGAAAAAGATAATGAAATTAAAGAAAAGGTTGAATGGTATCATGAATGGACATTTGAGACTTTTAAAGTTAAAGCTGATACAGAATGGGTTTCAGGATGTTTAGACCTTAAAGCAGATAAAAACATATGTTGATGAAAATTATGCAAAGAAGTCGGAAGTAAATGATGTGATTACAAGCATGAAAAATGAAATTCTTCAAACATTATATCCTGTTGGTTCTATTTATACGTCAATGAACTCAACAAATCCAGAAACGGTTTTAGGTTTTGGTATGTGGAAGCAGATTGTAGACAAATTCTTATACTGTGCTAGATATTCAAAGCAAACAGGAGGTTCGAAGAAAATTAAAGAAGCAAACCTTCCACCGCACACTCATACAGGAACTACAAACACAACAGGTAATCATTCACATTCAATAACAAAAAGAGGTTATATAAATCTTGCAGCGGGTTCGGATAGATGGGGAATGAATAGATATGATATCACAACTGACCCAGTAGATTCAAGCACAGGTATTTTCTGTGGAACCGCAGGAAATCATTCACACACTTTCACAACAAATCCAACAGGCTTGGGTAAAGATTATATGCCACCATTTGTGACTGTATTCGCATGGTACCGCGTTCATTGAATGTGCTTGAGCTCCAAAAATGAGACAACATGACATTTTGACAACACAGGAGGATTAATGTTTAGGGTAGATGGTTAGATCTAACCTCATTTCTAACCTCATTTCTAACCTCATGATTTACAAATGTTTAACGTGATATACGTTATGAATTTTCATGAATTTTATCGTTAATGTTTTCGTTAAGTGACTCAAAGAGTCCGGAGACAAAGTCTCATGTTTTCAGGTTATTCAATAATTAATTATTTTTGAAGAACTGAAGGTGTCACCAGGTCACCAGGTCACCAGGTTAATTAACTTCTCTGAAAAAATGAGACAACATGACATTTTGACAACACAGCAGGATTAATGAGGAAGGCAGTTATGAATTATTTTTGAAGAACTGAAGGTGTCACCAGGTCACCAGGTCACCAGGTTAATTAACTTCTCTGAAAAAATGAGACAACATGACATTTTGACAACAACACAGGAAATAAATGTTTACGTTAGTTTTAAAATTATTTTTATTTTTTTATTTTGTATGTAAGAACAGAAATGTCAGTCGAAGCAAAAACATTTACGAACAAATCTAATGGCGAAACATTCACAAAAGGCACTTATAACGGTATTGAAGTCTTACGTAGAGACAAGGATGGTTACATTAATGCAACAAAGATGGCAAGAGAAGCGGGAAAGTTAAACCATTTAAACAGATTTCTCAATAGTGCTAAAATGCAGGAAATTCTTGAGTTTTGGTTGAAAGAATACGGTGGAGCCAAAAGTGGCTCGACCTCAAAACAAGCATTTTATGAGCTTACAAAGGGTGTTATAAATGAATTCAAAGGTATTTACATACATCCTGACCTCGTTCATTTTGTTGCTGAATGGTGCTCTGTAAAGTATGCATTTTATGTCAAAGATATTATGGACTCCATAGACAAGAAAATTCATGAGAAATTAGATGAAGTAGAACTCGAAGATACAGTAGAGAATGCTAAACCTTTGTTTGAAGAAGAAGTTAGAAAAATGTGCGAAAAACAATTAGAACATGAACGTGAGATATGTTATGGTTATAGAGATTCTCCATTCGAACTAGACCAATGGGAACAAGAAAATTTAAAGAGAGAATTTAGAGAATATGAACTCGCTAAGATAGCATTAGAAGCTGCAGAAAAGAAGTTAAAAGCTTGGGGTTGTTTTGTACAAAAATATTGTGAGTAAATGAACCATTTATTTTTGTCATAAAGACGCAACGTGGCGGGGCATAGCCCATGACCCAAAATATATTTTATCGTTAATGTTTTCAGGTTATTCAATAATTAATTATTTTTGAAGAACTGAAGGTGTCACCAGGTCACCAGGTTATTTAACTTCTCTGAAAAAATGAGACAACATGACATTTTGACAACAACATAGGAGGAAGGCAGTTATGACTTCATCGTAATGAGTGTAAATCAGACAAAAATATATTTTAGGTGAAGAGGTGAGATTTCACCTAATTTTTCACCTCCTTTTTCACCTAATTTTTCACCTCCTTTTTCACCTAATTTTTCACCCTCACCGCTTAGCGGCTCAGATTGCTTTTGCTTTCTCGTGAATTTTCATGAATTTCCTTAAGATAGAAAAAATAAAGTTAGTTTTATTTTTATTTTTTATTTTGTATAAAAGATATGATTTCAACAATTGGCACAACAACAATTCAAACAACTACAGCACCAAACTCGCTAGTCATGAATCCTACGTCAATGTTGGTAGAGATGAAAAGCTTTATTCCTTCTTCATATACTTTTGAGACAGAAATACAAAGAATTAAGCAAGAACTTTTAACAAGTAATTTAGACTGTAGTGCGAAAGATGAAACAAATGAACAGTATCTTTATGACATGCAGGACATTATTGACCATTTACCCAAATTGCCTGAAATTCAGCAGCAAAAACTAACTATTCCTGAATTCGATGAAATAGAAGTGAAACCAACTGATTCAGTAGAAATAAAGAAGTTCATACGTAAAGTAAACTATGAATTCCTTGGTTTTCATTGCAACCATAAAGTTATGAACAAAGATTGCGACATGGTATATAAGAACATCTCTGACATATATAAATCTGGGGAGTTTAAGACATACGACAACTTTGTTTCATTAGTTGCTGAATGTGTATGGCAGATAAGAGATAAAGATAAAAGATGTAAAATATGGAATGGACAAATAAAACCAACAACTTTTGAGTTAAAGAAAACCATTGACGCCTTAGTTGTTCTAGCAGGTCAAATTTCAATGTATAACGCAAAAATGAATCCGCAATGTTCAAAATGTAAAGCAGCAATGAGGAAATATAACTACTCCGTCAAAGAGATAGAACGTATGAGAAACGACTATGCTGACTTAAAGAAAGAAGTAGAGAAACCAGCAGAAGATAAAATGGACATGTTAGCATTTCTGAACAAAAACTATCCAACAGCTGACGATTTCCTTCTATCTGACGTCAAGAAGAAGTATAAAGAAACTTTCGACATTGTTAAAACTTTTGACATACTGACAGAAGAAATAGAAGCTACGAAATTGTTTAAAATTTCAAATATACATCGTACAATTCATGTAAAACGCTTATAAAATAATTGGGGTGAAAAATTAGGTGAGAAAGGAGGTGAAATCTCACCTCTTCACCTAAAATATATTTTTATTGAATTCAGCAACAAAAATAATGAATTTCATTAGTTAGAAAAATAAAGTTAGTTTTATTTTTTTATTTTGTATGTAAGAACAGAAATGACAAACATTGAGTTTGAAACAGTTAGAAAGATAGACAATGACACCAAAGTGGTTAGAATAGGTGATTTAAACGTAAGATACTCAAAGAAATACAACAAATATTCTTTGTCAGACATTATATCTCCATCTGGAAAGAAAACAAACGACTGGGTTAGAAATGCTTCAACTCAGAAAATTTTGACAAGAAATCCTGAGCTTATGATATCGGTAAGATTCTATGGAACTACAGCATATCTCATTGACAAAAGTCTTATACCAATAGTTTTGTTATGGTTAGACCCAGTTGTTGGATATAACTTCATAACTTATGGTTCATTCGATACGGAACGTTGCAGTGAAGGCTTACTTTACATCGTTCAGAAACCGAAGGACTTCAACACAAAAAATATAAGATAGGAAGAACATATAATATAACTCAAAGATATGACAGTACAGTCAATAGAGTCAAGGTTGTGTTCGTTAATGATAGAGAGCTGCAGAAACAGAACTACTTGAAAAGTTTGAGAAAAGGTATGGTGCTCCCATGAAAGGTAAAGAAACGTTTGAAGTAGATGAGATAGATAAAGCTATAAAATTATTTGACGAAGTTGCTGAAAATAATGTAAAGCGTTTATATTTTTGGTCTTTTGTGAAAGTCAGAAAATAAAGTTAGTTTTTTATAAAATATTTTTTTATCCGGAATATAAAGACAGATATGTCAACAACAGAGAACACAACAACTGCTATCGTTCATGAAGCCATTAATGAAGAATATGAATACATACAGTATAACAAACAATTGAGACTCATTCGTTCAGTCAAAGATGACGTGTAAAAATGCTCTATTCTGCAAACCATCAGACATGAAAGACAAGAATTTTCAAATGAGCATTAAGGATAAATGTGAAAGGAACAAGAAAATAGATGGTAAACAGACATGGTATTATGTTTTGAAAGAAGAAATGAAAGGATTATATAAACAGGTTGAACCAAACGATAATGAGGATTCATTTACTGACGATGAAATACCTGTAAATGATGCTTTATAAAGTATGATTTGAATTTATTTTTGCATTAATCCTGCTGTGTTGTCAAAATGTCATGTTGTCTCATTTTTTCAGAGAAGTTAATTAACCTGGTGACCTGGTGACCTGGTGACACCTTCAGTTCTTCAAAAATAATTCATAACTGCCTTCCTCATTAATCCTGCTGTGTTGTCAAAATGTCATGTTGTCTCATTTTTTCAGAGAAGTTAATTAACCTGGTGACCTGGTGACCTGGTGACACCTTCAGTTCTTCAAAAATAATTCATAACTGCCTTCCTCATTAATCCTGCTGTGTTGTCAAAATGTCATGTTGTCTCATTTTTTCAGAGAAGTTAATTAACCTGGTGACCTGGTGACCTGGTGACACCTTCAGTCTTTCAAAATAATTCATAACTGCCTTCCTCATTAATCCTGCTGTGTTGTCAAAATGTCATGTTGTCTCATTTTTTCAGAGAAGTTAATTAACCTGGTGACCTGGTGACCTGGTGACACCTTCAGTTCTTCAAAAATAATTCATTATTGAATGACCTAAAACCATTAACGTAAACATTATTTTTGGGTCATTTACACTCATTACGATGAAATCATCATGACAAAACATTTACGATGAAATCATGACAAAACATTTACGATGAAGTTTTGACAAAGGATATACGATGAAGTCATGACAAAACATTAACGATAAAAATTAAATTTGGATTGAGTTTAAAAATTCATCTTTATTAAATTCATCTCTTCCAATCAATTTATTTATTCTATTAAATTCTTTTATTTTTGCTTCACTCAGTTTAATGATTGAACGATAAGTTTCTAATTTTTCAATTATTTCTTTCTTCTCTTTATCGTTTTCGATTATTTCTTTATCGTTTTCAACCCCACCGCATTGTGGCTTCTTTTTGTAATAGCATATTTTTGATTTAATTCTGTTTAGTTTCTTTTTATATTCATCGTATGGACTCTTGGCTGCTTCGTTGTCACTCATTTCTTACGAAATAAAAATAAATTAAATATTATTTAAATATAATGGAGTAATAAAATAAATTGGAATTTCTATTAATTTATTGTCAACTTCAACTAATGCATTGCCGTTAATATATCTAACAAATTCAGCTATTGTGTCAAATCTTCGTCTTCTTTTTGTCCTTGATTTATCAGTTTTTCCATAATCGAGATGAATCAAAACTTTATCCCCTTGTTTAAAATTCATGAGCCCGAATTAATTTGTTCACGTTTAACATCATTCAACCTTTCCATTTGCTTTCTAATATATTCCCATTCTTTTGAAATATCATTTTTCATTTCCACTGGTTTCATGTTTATAGTTCTATGCCATGTATTATTGTAATAATATACTAACTGTTGTATGATGGAGTCATGATTTCCATCCCAGTATATCTGACCGTTAACCCCTAACGCATCTCTAAGAGTTCTCATTACCGCATCAACTTTTATTATGAAACGTATATGGAGAGGATGAAAGAAAAAATTAATTTGTGGGAAATAATGAGTCATAGCCGCCTGAAATCCTTTATCACCATCACCCCTGATATTATCTACTCTTTCATGATCTAGTAAGTATTGTATGGCTCTTCTTGTTTCCTGTTCTGTTTTCCCTTTCACTGGAATGCAATATAAATATCTAGTGTTAATGTTAATGGCAAATAAATAAGTAACGTTTCCTTTTGAATATTCCAGATGATCGATTTCGTATGAATATGGATATGGTACAAATGAAGGGCGACTAAATTTTTCCTTTAACGGTTGAATTTTCGGGTCAGTTGGTTTATTTAATATCTTGAAATCCTTTTTAAAATCTTTTTGCTTCTTTAATGTTTGAAATGGATATAATAAAGTGAATGATGAAGGATTAACTGAAGGAGGAGGCGGTACTGTCGTTGGAGGTTTTGGTGTTGCAAGTGGTTTAATTTTATCTGCTTTGATTTTGGATGATGAAGTTTTGGAATTCATTCCCCCCTTCATTAATTCTGGATGTATTCTATTCATTTGTTTTAAATATGCTGTATATAAAGGTTTGATATACTTTCCCGCTTCGAGTTTATGTTGAAGGATGAATTCCAAAAGTTGATCTTCATTTAAAAGTCGGGCTGAATATGGTTTAACTAATGAATCATAAATTAAAGCTTGTGCATCATTTATGGTCTGAAGGACCTGGGCGTTTTGTTCCTTTTGTTTTTGTTCTTTGGCTTTTGCGGCTCAGGATTATATAATTTATATAATTCATCAATATCTTCTTCTGTTAATACTTTATTTTTGAAATCTTTCAACTGTTTAAGTTGTGATTTAGTTTTTCCCTTTGAATATTCATTATTTTTAATTTTGTCTTTAATTTCAGAAATTATTTTATTATGATATTTCAAAATTTCATTTTTATAATATGGATAATAATATTCCATATCATCACCCGTTATATTGTTATCATATTTTTGGAGATATGCTTTTAAATCATAATAACTAAGAAAATTTTGATTAAATACTAAATCATCAATTAAATTTTTTAAATCTGTGTTATCCATTTATATAAAAATAAAATCAATGTTTTGGACCCGTAATGTCTGCTTCGTGTGCTTCCCAATTTGGACCATGACGTTTGGCATATGCTTGAGCTTCTGGTAATGTTAAAACGTTTCTCATTTGTTTAACATCTTTGAATCATAGTATCAAAACCATCATTAACGGTTCCTTTTGTCTCTTCTGTGGCATTTCATTAAAAATAAAATTTTAAATTGTATTAAATAAATGGCATACAACATCCATTTTCACAACATACAGCCTTAGTGTGTGCTCCTGTTAATGCAGTCTTACCGATTGTTAAGCGAGTCATTGACCCTTTTTTAAAGTTGTAAATTAATATTCTGACCATCAAATATCATTTATCATTTATTATATCCAAATATTTTTAGGTGTTAATTGTTTATTTTGTCGTAAACTAACAACTTTCATTTTTTGTGCAATCTTTTTAAAATCACTTCCATCAATTGAACCGTTGAATGATGTATAACACTTAGGACATAAAGCAACCATGTTATCACCTTGTTTCTCAATTGCTAAACCCAATAATTTTTTCTCATGTGCTTTTTCTTCAGCTTTATTCTTTAATTTAGGTTTAAATTTCTCATCAAAACAGAAGAAATCAAAAGGTGAATTTGAAAATGTTTTTATCATAAAATTGTTTATCGGTAACAATTGCTTGAAATGCTTGAGTGTTAGGAAGATTTGGGTCGCCAGCGATTGCCCAATAAGATGAATCAGTATCACCTTCAATGAAATGAAAACGATTAACATCCATGCATTTATACATAAAATCATAAATGAAAACCAAATACCAGTATTTAGCATTATCTAAAGTGAAGAATGCCTCTTGTAAACATGTATCACATCTATAAAATCTATCTTTGAGCATCACTTGATAT